TAAGGGTGGCACTGGGTCTAGATAAGGGTGGCACTGGGTCTAATTAAGGGGGGCAGGGGACTAGATAAGGGTGACACTGGGTCTAATTAAGGGGGGCAGGGGACTGGCTATGGGTGACACTGGGTCTAATTAAGGGGGGCAGGGGACTGGGACTGGCTATGGGTGACACTGGGTCTAATTAAGGGGGGCAGGGGACTGGGACGGGCTATGGGTGACACTGGGTCTAATTAAGGGGGGCAGGGGACTGGGACTGCCTATGGGTGACACTGGGTCTAATTAAGGGGGGCAGGGGACTGGGACTGGCTATGGGTGACACTGGGTCTAATTAAGGGGGGCAGGGGACTGGGACTGGCTATGGGTGACACTGGGTCTAATTAAGGGGGGCAGGGGACTGGGACTGGCTATGGGTGACACTGGGTCTAATTAAGGGGGGCAGGGGACTGGGACTGGCTATGGGTGACACTGGGTCTAATTAAGGGGGGCAGGGGACTGGGACTGGCTATGGGTGACACTGGGTCTAATTAAGGGGGGCAGGGGACTGGGACTGGCTATGGGTGACACTGGGTCTAATTAAGGGGGGCAGGGGACTGGGACTGGCTATGGGTGACACTGGGTCTAATTAAGGGGGGCAGGGGACTGGGACTGGCTATGGGTGACACTGGGTCTAATTAAGGGGGGCAGGGGACTGGGACTGGCTATGGGTGACACTGGGTCTAATTAAGGGGGGCAGGGGACTGGGACTGGCTATGGGTGACACTGGGTCTAATTAAGGGGGGCAGGGGACTGGGACTGGCTATGGGTGACACTGGGTCTAATTAAGGGGGGCAGGGGACTGGGACTGGCTATGGGTGACACTGGGTCTAATTAAGGGGGGCAGGGGACTGGGCATGGATGACAGGGTATGATTAAGGGGGGCAGGGGTTTGATTAAGGGAGGCAGGGTCTGATTAAGGGGTGCAAAGGGTTGATGAAGGGGTGGCATGGATTGCATTAATTGGCAGGGGATTTATTAAGGGGGCTGATAAAGGGTGGCAGGAAACTGAAAAGGGGGGCATGGGGCTGATTAAAGGGGGCAGGTGGTTGATAAAGGAGTGGGAGGGGATTGATGAGGAGATCAGGGGGCTGATGAAATAGGGGCAGATGGCTGATAAATAGGTGGGAGGGAATTGATGAGGGGGCAGGGGACTGATGAAGGGGTGGCCAGGGGTTGGATTATTTGGCATGGGATGTATTAAGGGGGCTGATGAAGGGGAGCAGGGGGTTGAAAAGGGGGGCATGGGACTGATTAAAGGGGGGCAGGTGGGTGATAGGGGTGGGAGGGTACTGATGAGGGGGTCAGGGGGCTGATAAAAGGGGGAGGGGATTGGTGAGGGGGTCAGGGGACTGATGAATGGGGCAGAGGGCTGTTAAAGGGGTGGGAGGGGATTGATTAGGGGGTCAGGCAGCTGATGAATAGGGGCAGAGGGCTGAGTAAAGGGTGGGAGGGAATTGATGAGAGGGGCAGGGGACTGATGAAGGGGTGGCAGGAATTGATAAAGGGGTGGGAGGGGATTGATGAAGGGTAAGGGGTGGCTAGGAGTTTGACGATGGGATGGCCAGGGCATTGATTAAGGGGAAGGGGTGGCCAGGAGTTTGATGAAGTGGTGGCCAGGGGCTTGGTGAAGATCTGGCCAGGGATTTTGGTTAAGAGGTGCAGTGGTTTTGTAGAAGGGGGTGGAGGCAACAGATTGTGAATGCTCCTAAAATAGTTTGAAGGGGTCCAAACAGAGACAGGTGAGGGGGGGGGGGCGCCACAAGATTGTTTCGCACAGGGCGCCTGAACACCTAAGGCCGGCCCTGCGTGTGCTGCAGAGTGGAGGCGTGCTGTTGCAGCCTCTGTTTACTGGGTGAGCCCCAGCCTATTTTATTTGGTCACTGTTAAGATTACAACCCTGTGTAACAGTCACCAGGGGACTTATGGAACAGTTAACCAGGAGTTGGAGGCCAGTTGCAGGAGATGGCACAGGAAGCAGGCAAAATCCAAAACACAGTACAGATTAAGGAAAAATCCAAAGGCAGGGTCGGGCGAGAAGCAGAAGTCAGGGCTGGCAGTGGAGTAACAAAGTCAGTAAATCAGAGTCCAAGAAATCAGTCAGTAGCAAATCAAAGATCCAGCAGGAAACAACAAACAGGCAAAATGACCAGATCCTAGGTTTCAGACAGGGCTGGCTTTTACAGCCTGCTAATTAGGTGCAGTTGATCCCAATTGGAAAAGGGTGGATCAGTGCTGCTTGATCCAGGGCAAGGGGTTCAGGAAGCAGAAAAATACAAACAGAAACTGAAGCCCCCTGTTGGACAGCACGGCAGAGAACCTGACTGGGATGCTGGAGCTGTGAATTCAAACCCAGCCAGGTCACTTAAAGGGGCAGCTTGGCTTGGGCTGTGCAGTGACAGAGCCCCCACAAGGAGCCTCCAGGGGCAAACAAACATGGCTTCAACTAGTCCAATTCAGGTTCAGACAGGAAATCCAGGTCTGTATAGGAATCTGAATCATAAGAATCCAAGAGTGTAGGAATATTTTGGTTTTAAAGTGAAGAGCAGTTCACAGGCTGTGATAAATGATTGCAGTTCAGTCTTTTTCCCAGTGAACTTGTCAGGTAATGCAATATCAGGTTCAGGAGCATGGTGTGTGTTCCCCTTTAACTCAGCAAAACCACGCTGCAATTCACTTATGGTTTGGGACAGGAGGGTCACTTGCTGTGTGAGGGTAGTCAGGACATT